CTTTTTAAAATAATGTGAATGCATGTATATATAAATATACACACACACACACACATATAAACCCTAAATCTAAAATTATTAAACTTGGCAGATATACTAAAACACAACAAAAATAATAAAAATTTACACAACATAAATCAAACATATAATTAAATCGAGAAGTAATTCTAATGAATATCTCTCATTAGAGAAATTCATATTGAAAAAGTATTTTTGTGAGTGTGTGATATAGAATAATAAATGAATTCTAATTGTGAGAAGATATAAGATGAGCGTACTTGTTAAAGGGGTGAATATAGCATAGAGATGACTTAGTTATTAATGAGGTGAGTATAAAAGGGATGAATTTAATAGTTTGATAATAATAAATTAAATGGAGGGGAAATAAATATTTTGTGGAGGGTGGAAATATCCTCACCCTTAATGATTTGATAAACAATGAGTTTGATAGTCGACATCATCTTTTCATGTCAGAGACACGGGTTCAATACTTGTAAACGATATGAACTCATTCTCGCCCACTTTCAATTAAACTCTCTATTTTGACTAGTTTAAATAAAGAGTTGATCAGAGATGAATTTTTGAGTATTGATTTTCTAAAATAGATAATTAAGTTAAAATAAATAATTTATTGAAGATGCTCTGAAGCCACAAATATTAACCATGGATCCTNTTTTTTTTTTTTTTTTTATTTTTAGGGGGTGGGGGTGGGGGAGGCTGAAGAATTAGAGAAATTGAGGGCTTGTTTGGATTCTGTTTTAAAAATAATTTTTTTTTTTGAAAACTAATAAAACTATAGAAATTTGGGCTCGGATTGCACAAAACTCAAGGAAATAAAATACAGTAATACTTATAAAGACTTGAGATCTATAGTTGCATGGCGGGAATATGAGAAGGGGTCTTGGACAATTAATATTATGGTTATAGNCACTCATTCTCGCCCACTTTCAATTAAACTCTCTATTTTGACTAGTTTAATAGAGAGTTGATCAGAGATGAATTTTTGAGTATTGATTATCTAAAATAGATAATTAAATTAAAATAAATAATTTATTGAAGATGCTCTAAAGCCACAAATATTAACCATGTATCCTATTATGGAATGCGGTGTGTATTGCATGGACTTATTTACTGATGGTTTCATAAAGGAGTGTAATATGAATTTTGTTTAATTTAATTCAACTAAGTAAAATTTTATTTCAGATCATTAGAATTCATCACATGGATCGTGTTCTCCCACTAAGCTCTATTAAGGACTATATTTATTAGTAAAATAAATACCTTTAGTTCACTATAAATTTTAGATAGCCATTGATAGGAGTAGTTGGTTGATCACATCATAGGTAGAAAAAGAGTTTAAGTATCATTATTAACCATGGCACAAGACAAAAAGGAAACAAAAAAAAACAAGTTGTACTAGGTCTTTTCATTAGGTGTTTTTCCCTCTTTGTATCAAATGGTTTGAAGACCTCAATTAAAAATGCTTTTCCCTTTTTTAAGTAACGCCAATAGTGTTTTGCTTCTTTTTTTTTTTTTTTATCTTTTTATTTTTAGAGAAATTGAGGCTGAAGAATTAGAGAAATTGAGGGCTTGTTTGGATTCTGTTTTAAAAATAATTTTTTTTTTGAAAACTAATAAAATTATAGAAATTTGGGCTCGGATTGCACAAAACGCAAGGAAATAAAATACAGTAATACTTATAAAGACTTGAGATCTTTAGTTGCATGGCGGGAATATGAGAAGGGGTCTTGGACAATTAATATTATGGTTATAGCCAAAATAATTGTTTGGTTAGTTTTTTTTTTTATGATTTTTTGGAAAATGGTTGTTTTTAAAATTTTTATTATCCATGTTAAATGGGTAATTTTAGGACAATAAAGGAGTGCCCTGGAAAAGACAAATCAAAATTAAAAGGGCTGAAATATAATTTTTAAAAATTTTGCGGTATATATCCGAATTATTCAAAATTATAGGGTGTCGGTGTAATTTGTCCAACACTAATAGTAATAATGGGATTCCCCTGACCTTTGTCGTATCGGTTCCCCCCCTTATTCTCTACNCATTAGAATTCATCACATGGATCGTGTTCTCCCACTAAGCTCTATTAAGGACTATATTTATTAGTAAAATAAATACCTTTAGTTCACTATAAATTTTAGATAGCCATTGATAGGAGTAGTTGGTTGATCACATCATAGGTAGAAAAAGAGTTTAAGTATCATTATTAACCATGGCACAAGACAAAAAGGAAACAAAAAAAAACAAGTTGTACTAGGTCTTTTCATTAGGTGTTTTTCCCTCTTTGTATCAAATGGTTTGAAGACCTCAATTAAAAATGCTTTTCCCTTTTTTAAGTAACGCCAATAGTGTTTTGCTTCTTTTTTTTTTTTTTTATCTTTTTATTTTTAGAGAAATTGAGGCTGAAGAATTAGAGAAATTGAGGGCTTGTTTGGATTCTGTTTTAAAAATAATTTTTTTTTTGAAAACTAATAAAATTATAGAAATTTGGGCTCGGATTGCACAAAACGCAAGGAAATAAAATACAGTAATACTTATAAAGACTTGAGATCTTTAGTTGCATGGCGGGAATATGAGAAGGGGTCTTGGACAATTAATATTATGGTTATAGCCAAAATAATTGTTTGGTTAGTTTTTTTTTTTATGATTTTTTGGAAAATGGTTGTTTTTAAAATTTTTATTATCCATGTTAAATGGGTAATTTTAGGACAATAAAGGAGTGCCCTGGAAAAGACAAATCAAAATTAAAAGGGCTGAAATATAATTTTTAAAAATTTTCGGTATATATCCGAATTATTCAAAATTATAGGGTGTCGGTGTAATTTGTCCAACACTAATAGTAATAATGGGATTCCCCTGACCTTTGTCGTATCGGTTCCCCCCCTTATTCTCTGCCTAATTGTCACACAGGCACACTCTCTCTGTTACTTAATCACGCACTCTTGGCCGACACGCTGGAACACCTCTCTCTCTCGTCTCAGGCAATCACCAGTAGATAAAACCCTGCGTCGCTAGTTGAGATAGCTCACAATCGCAGGTCTGAAAACGCCTCTCTCTCTCTCTCTCTCTCATTGCGCTCCAGCTTTCCAGTTTTGGCAGCAATCAGTTTTTGATTAATGCAGATCTTACGCCAGGATTTTTTAATTACTTGATACAGATTAATCATTTCTTGATCTATATGTATTATTTGTGTTAAATTTAACCAGTATTCCTCAGTGTTTAAGCCTTTACAGCAAAGCAACTAAGCACTTTTNGAAAACTAATAAAATTATAGAAATTTGGGCTCGGATTGCACAAAACGCAAGGAAATAAAATACAGTAATACTTATAAAGACTTGAGATCTTTAGTTGCATGGCGGGAATATGAGAAGGGGTCTTGGACAATTAATATTATGGTTATAGCCAAAATAATTGTTTGGTTAGTTTTTTTTTTTTATGATTTTTTGGAAAATGGTTGTTTTTAAAATTTTTATTATCCATGTTAAATGGGTAATTTTAGGACAATAAAGGAGTACCCTGGAAAAGACAAATCAAAATTAAAAGGGCTGAAATATAATTTTTAAAAATTTTGCGGTATATATCCGAATTATTCAAAATTATAGGGTGTCGGTGTAATTTGTCCAACACTAATAGTAATAATGGGATTCCCCTGACCTTTGTCGTATCGGTTCCCCCCCTTATTCTCTACCTAATTGTCACACAGGCACACTCTCTCTGTTACTTAATCACGCACTCTTGGCCGACACACTGGAACACCTCTCTCTCTCGTCTCAGGCAACCACCAGTAGATAAAACCCTGCGTCGCTAGTTGAGATAGCTCACAATCGCAGGTCTGAAAACGCCTCTCTCTCTCTCATTGCGCTCCAGCTTTCCAGTTTTGGCAGCAATCAGTTTTTGATTAATGCAGATCTTACGCCAGGATTTTTTAATTACTTGATACAGATTAATCATTTCTTGATCTATATGTATTATTTGTGTTAAATTTAACCAGTATTCCTCAGTGTTTAAGCCTTTACAGCAAAGCAACTAAGCACTTTTGGACACAAATTTATCACAAAACCACCGACAAGTATCTGATCGTAGTGTCCTCTTTGCTATAATCTAATTTAGATTTGTCTACAAAATCATAGCCCGCTAAAGACCATAGCTTTCTCTCTCTCTCCTAATCCACTTATTTTCTCAGCAAACACCCCCTCAATTCATCCCGATAACCCCAAAAACCCGTTAATTCGAAATGCAACGATTTGTTCTACCCANGCCCTGGAAAAGACAAATCAAAATTAAAAGGGCTGAAATATAATTTTTAAAAATTTTCGGTATATATCCGAATTATTCAAAATTATAGGGTGTCGGTGTAATTTGTCCAACACTAATAGTAATAATGGGATTCCCCTGACCTTTGTCGTATCGGTTCCCCCCCTTATTCTCTACCTAATTGTCACACAGGCACACTCTCTCTGTTACTTAATCACGCACTCTTGGCCGACACACTGGAACACCTCTCTCTCTCGTCTCAGGCAACCACCAGTAGATAAAACCCTGCGTCGCTAGTTGAGATAGCTCACAATCGCAGGTCTGAAAACGCCTCTCTCTCTCTCATTGCGCTCCAGCTTTCCAGTTTTGGCAGCAATCAGTTTTTGATTAATGCAGATCTTACGCCAGGATTTTTTAATTACTTGATACAGATTAATCATTTCTTGATCTATATGTATTATTTGTGTTAAATTTAACCAGTATTCCTCAGTGTTTAAGCCTTTACAGCAAAGCAACTAAGCACTTTTGGACACAAATTTATCACAAAACCACCGACAAGTATCTGATCGTAGTGTCTTCTTTGCTATAATCTAATTTAGATTTGTCTACAAAATCATAGCCCGCTAAAGACCATTCTGTAGCTTTCTCTCTCTCTCCTAATCCACTTATTTTCTCAGCAAACACCCCCTCAATTCATCCCGATAACCCCAAAAACCCGTTAATTCGAAATGCAACGATTTGTTCTACCCATTTTCTTGTGCTTCGCTGCTGTATCACCGTTCATGAACTTCATGGCCGTCGCCGATGAGGTGACGTGCTCAGGTATAGTGCCAATGAGCTACAGAGACGATGAGATATCAATTACGGACTTTGGAGGCATCGGCGACGGAAGGACATTGAATACCCAAGCGTTTCGAGAGGCGATATATCGGATTGAGCATTTGAGAAGGAGAGGAGGCACGCTTCTCTACATACCTCGTGGGGTGTTTTTAACTGAGAGCTTCAATCTTACTAGTCATATGACTCTGTTCTTAGCTAAGGATGCTGTTATCAAAGCCACAAAGGTACTCACTCGATTTCAAGTTAGTCGTAAATTTTATGTTATTTTAGATAGAGCAAAAATGGTTTTTAGATGGCTATCATAGTTCTAGGGTTTCGAATTTCTAGAATTAGTTCACTATAGGTTCCACGTCATTCTGTGAGAAAACCAAAATTGAGTTTGTTTTCATACAGACTGGCTTTGTGCCTTATCTTCATATCCAAATTGAACCGACCTATGAAAATGTGACTTTACAATTGTCACCATAAACCAGCCAGTGCCCTAGATTAACTAACGGACATTAGAGTTGATATCAATGTCAAGAAGAATTGCAGAATTTGTGTGTGATTCAATAAAATCTTCTTGTAAAAGTATTTTAACTAGATTTTCCGTGATATTAGTACATGCTATTCGAACCACTCTTTTTTTATCCATATTGGCATTTTGTATGGAGTTTATTATGTCAGCAATAGTGTCCCTACCCATGATGAACTAATGGGTTTGCTCTTTGTGAGTTTAAGCATTCTTGCTCGCTGTAGTACCACTGTCAAATACTTAAAAATCCTGCAATTTTCTTAGGCTTGAGCTCAAGTGTCCGTGTACTCTATTTAAATTAGTCTCAATATCCAGAGCTTCAATTTCTAGAGCTTAATTGCATGGCATCAATATGATATAATTTTTGGAGAGTGACATTGAACAAGACGCTAAAGCCTGATTGTATGGTGTGAATGTAGCATAATTTTTGGAGAGTAACACTGCACAAAACACCACATTTGTTGAATATTTAACTTGTCAAAGCACAGAAAGTGGGCCCTCATGAGCACCACTCCACAGATTATCTTGGTGGCTAAAGTTGTTTTTTTGGGGGGGAGGTACAAGACAAGCATGCTGTTATAGAATAATTGAATAATGAAGCACAGCCATGAACCATGACGGGTCCTGTTGAATAAATAGGGGACCTAGTTGCATGTGCCTGTCATTTAAATTATTGTCAACTGGAGGATTTGGCAGCTATTGAAAACGCCAGCAATATCATGGTGTTCCCCATCCAAAATATATAAAAAAAAGGGTCTGGTCATAGATTTCCAGTGTTTAATAAAATTTTATTTATTTTATGGTCTTGTTGTGATGACTACGAAGAGACTGTTATTGATGATAAACACCACGGGCTCTTTAAGCAAAGATTACTTTCAGGGCAGCAATTATTATTCGAATTATTATAGTTGATCATAACAATTTAGTAGTCAAAAGGTTAGAGCAACTGATGCTGAATTTTGTACATTGTTATAACCACATGTTAGTCAGATATTCCATTACTTTTCATCTGAAAGAATTCTATTTCAAAGTTGGTACACTGTGTCTGAAAGCCTAATCTATTCTGTTAGGGTGCTAATTGTACTCCTCTTACTGGAACATGCTTTAAGCTGACTGAACTAGAGCTTGTTGCCCTTGGCTCCCTTGACCATGATCTTTCCAAAATTTAAGGGTTTATTCTAAGGAAACCATTCCGAGTGGACCAACTTGGTTCTAAAATTGGTGTTGGTGCTATTGTGGTCTACCAGCATTAAGCTTATTGATCTGAACTTTTTGACAAAACTTACAAGTACCTGCATCAGGTGTGCTGACTTTTGATCTGATAGCCCTTGTATAGAAGTCTCTCTTTGTAATAATGCAGCATGGCTTTGCAATAATTCTGCCCATAACATACCATTAAATTGAAGTCACACAGTGTTTCACATGGCATTCCATACTGGTCTCATCGTTTCGCTTAGATTTTGCATAGAACCACTTTTATTCCATGTGTTAAGTTTGGAAGATTAACATAATATTAGAGACAATATTTAGGGAGAAACAGAGAGAGGTTAAAAACTTAACCTATCTCTCATACATCACTTATATTTATACTTAACTCACAATAATAAGAATTACACATACACCCTCTTACATAACAATTTACACATACTACCCTATTATTCTTAACACTCCCCATCAAGCTGGACTATATATATCATATAATCCAAGTTTGAAACAAATCGTTGTATGACGTGTACGATTCAATGTTTTGGTAAACATATTTGCAAGCTGATCTTCAGATTTCACAAATGGAGTTGTAATCTCCCCAGCTGTTATCTTGTCCCGAATAAAGTGACAATCAATTTCAATATGTTTAGTTCTCTTGTGAAATACAGGATTGACAGCGATATGGATAGTTGTCTGGTTGTCACAAAACAACTGTAAAGGAAGTTGAACTGAAAACCCAATTTCCTGGAGGAAGTATAGTAGCCAAGTCAATTCAGTCGTCGTATGCGCCATTGCCTTATACTCAGCCTCAGCACTGGGAGTTGTTACCACAGATTGTTTCTTACTTTTTTATGAGGCAACGTTACCTCCTAAAAAAGTACAATAACCGGTGGTTGATCTCTGATCAGAAGGGGAGCCAGCCCATTTAGCATCTGATAAACCTTCCACTCTAAGATGTCCATTAACTCGATATAATAGTCAAGTGTAGGAGTACGTTTGAGATATCGCAGAATATGAGTAACTGTCTCCCAATGTGGTACTCTAGGACACTCCATGAACTGACTTACTATACTGACTGCATAGGAAATGTCCGGTCGAGTAATAGTGAGATAATTGAGCTTCCCAATTAATCTGCGATACCGACTCGGATTCTCAAACTGTGCACCATCATTCATCAAGAGTTTCTGATTCGGTTCCATAGGAACATCAATAGGTCTACCACCTAGCAAATCTGCTTCCTCTAACATGTCAAGTATATATTTCCTCTAGGATAAACAAATACCCTATTTAGGTCAAGTCACCTCAATACCCAAGAAATACCTGAGGTTTTTCAAATTCTTAGTATGAAAATGATCATGCCAGAATATTTTTAACTTGACAATCCCCTCAGAATCATTTCCAGTATTCATAATATCATCTTCATAGACCATAAATAAAACATATCCAGCATCTGTCTGTCTATGAAACACAGAATGATCTGTCTGACATCGAAGAAGACCGAACTCTAAAACTGCATCTGAAAACTTACCAAACTATGCCCTCGGTGACTGCTTTAAACTATACAAAGATTTCTTTAACCGACATACACTCTTACTATACTCCCTCTGAGCAGTAAACCCAGGTAGCTACTCCATGTATACCTCTTTAACCAAGTTACTATGTAGGAAAGCATTCTTAATGTTTAATTGAAACAAGGGCCAATCAAGATTAGCAGCCAAAGAAATCAAGATGCGAACAGAGGAGATTTTGGCAACAAGAGAGAAAGTTTCCTCATAATCAACACCATAAGTCTGAGTAAAATCCTTTGCAACAAGCCGGACTTTGAGACGCTCCACAGAATCATCTGGATGAAATTTAACTGTATACACCCAACGACAACCAACAGTTCGTTTGCTAGGAGGTAAAAGAATGAGATTCCAAGTCTCATTATGNTAAGTCTCCTCATAATCAACACCATAAGTCTAAGTAAAATCCTTTGCAACAAGCCGGACTTTGAGACGCTCCACAGAATCATCTGGATGAAATTTAACTGTATACACCCAACGACAACTAACAGTTNCTATATATATCATATAATCCAAGTTTGAAACAAATCGTTGTATGACGTGTACGATTCAATGCTTTGGTAAACATATTTGCAAGCTGATCTTCAGATTTCACAAATGGAGTTGNTAACAGTTCGTTTGCTAGGAGGTAAAAGAACGAGATTCCAAGTCTCATTATGATGTAAGACATCCATCTCATCCTCCATAGCTTTCCTTCAACCCGGATCAAATAATGCATCTTGTAAACGCTTAGGAATAGATTTAGTAGATAATTGAGAGATAAAACAAGAGAAGACAGAAGACAAGACATCATATGAAACAAAATGAGCAATGAGATGATTAGTAACATACGAACGAGTACCTTTTCGAAGAGTAATAGGTAGAGAGTCTAAATTATCTGATGGATCAGGATTAGCAGACGACAAGGAAGACGGTACGGGCACCTCTGGCAATGGGCGAGGACGGCGAGAGTAGACACGAAGAGGTAAAGTAGATGGTAACACAGTGGATAACGGAATATCTGAAGATGAGAAAAGAAAAGGTGGTACAGGAGATGACCCAAAGTGTAGATCCAAAGGCTAAGAAGGTGCTGAAAAATATGGAACAGATTCCTCAAGCGTGACATCGGCACTAATAAAGTATCGGCGCAGAGAAGGACTATAACAACGATACCCCTTTTGCGTGCAGTAGTAACTAGGAAAAACACATTTGATAGCTCGAGGGTCAAGTTTGTCAAACCCAGGACCCAAATTGTGAACATAATAGACACATTCAAAAATTTTAGGAGTCAGGAAAAATAAGAGTTTACTTGAAAAAAGAACAAAATATGAACTTTGTCCATTTAATACAGAGGATGACATACGATTAATAAGGTGACAAGCAGTAAGAACAACATCACNTTATCTTGTCCCGAATAAAGTGACAATCAATTTTAATATGTTTAGTTCTCTTGTGAAATACAGGATTGACAGCGATATGAATAGTTGTCTGGTTGTCACAAAACAGCTGTAAAGGAAGTTGAACTGAAAACCCAATTTCCTGGAGGAAGTATAGTAGCCAAGTCAATTCACTCGTCGTATGCGCCATTGCCTTATACTCAGCCTTAGCACTGGATCTTGTTACCACAGATTGTTTCTTATTTTTTTATGAGGCAACGTTACCTCCTAAAAAAGTACAATAACCGGTGGTTGATCTCTGATCAGAAGGGGAGCCAGCCCATTCAGTATCTGATAAACCTTCCACTCTAAGATGTCCATTAGCTCGATATAACAGTCCAAGTGTAGGAGTACGTTTGAGATATCGCAGAATATGAGTAACTGTCTCCCAATGTGGTACTCTAGGACACTCCATGAACTGACTTACTATACTGACTGCATAGGAAATGTCCGGTCGAGTAATAGTGAGATAATTGAGCTTCCCAATTAATCTGCGATACCGACTCGGATTCTCAAACAGTGCACCATCATTCATCAAGAGTTTCTGATTCGGTTCCATAGGAACATCAATAGGTCTACCACCTAGCAAATCTGCTTCCTCTAACATGTCAAGTATATATTTTCTCTAGGATAAACAAATACCCTATTTAGGTCAAGTCACCTCAATACCCAAGAAATACCTGAGGTTTTTCAAATTCTTAGTATGAAAATGATCATGCAAGAATATTTTTAACTTGACAATCCCCTCAGAATCATTTCCAGTATTCATAATATCATCTTCATAGACCATAAATAAAACATATCCAGCATCTGTCTGTCTATGAAACACAGAATGATCTGTCTGACATCGAAGAAGACCGAACTCTAAAACTGCATCTGAAAACTTACCAAACTATGCCCTCGGTAACTGCTTTAAACTATACAAAGATTTCTTTAACCGACATACACTCTTACTATACTCCCTCTGAGCAGTAAACCCAGGTAGCTACTCCATGTATACCTCTTTAACCAAGTTACTATGTAGGAAAGCATTCTTAATGTTTAATTGAAACAAGGGCCAATCAAGATTAGCAGCCAAAGAAATCAAGATGCGAACAGAGGAGATTTTGGCAACAAGAGAGAAAGTTTCCTCATAATCAACACCATAAGTCTGAGTAAAATCCTTTGCAACAAGCCGGACTTTGAGACGCTCCACAGAATCATCTGGATGAAATTTAACTGTATACACCCAACGACAACCAACAGTTCGTTTGCTAGGAGGTAAAAGAATGAGATTCCAAGTCTCATTATGATGTAAGACATCTATCTCATCCTCCATAGCTTTCCTTCAACCCGGATCAAATAATGCATCTTGTAAACGCTTAGGAATAGATTTAGTAGATAATTGAGAGATAAAACAAGAGAAGACAGAAGACAAGACATCATATGAAACAAAATGAGCAATGAGATGATTAGTAACATACGAACGAGTACCTTTTCGAAGAGTAATAGGTAGAGAGTCTAAATTATCTGATGGATCAGGATTAGCAGACGACAAGGAAGACGGTACGGGCACCTCTGGCAATGGGCGAGGACGGCGAGAGTAGACACGAAGAGGTAAAGTAGATGGTAACACAGTGGATAACGGAATATCTGAAGATGAGAAAAGAAAAGGTGGTACAGGAGATGACCCAAAGTGTAGATCCAAAGGCTAAGAAGGTGCTGAAAAATATGGAACAGATTCCTCAAGCGTGACATCGGCACTAATAAAGTATCGGCGCAGAGAAGGACTGTAACAACGATACCCCTTTTGCGTGCAGTAGTAACTAGGAAAAACACATTTGATAGCTCGAGGGTCAAGTTTGTCAAACCCAGGACCCAAATTGTGAACATAATAGACACATTCAAAAATTTTAGGAGTCAGGAAAAATAAGAGATTACTTGAAAAAAGAACAAAATATGAACTTTGTCCATTTAATACAGAGGATGACATACGATTAATAAGGTGACAAGCAGTAAGAACAACATCACTCCAAAAGTATTGGAGAATATTCATCTGGAATAATAGGGTATGAGTGACTTTCAACAAATGACGGTTTTTGAATTCAGCAACACAATTCTGTGGAGAGGTGTGAGCAAAAGAAGTCTGATGAATAATGCCAATTTTACTAAAATAAGTTGAAAAAGGATCAGATTCATATTCCGGAGCATTATCAGAATGTAAAGTACGTATACGATAACCATACTGAGTTTTTATTTTCTTACGAAAGGTCTCAAATATAGAGAATAATTCATACCGGACTTTCATAAAAAATAATCAAGTCACACGAGAATAGTCATCCACAAATGTCACAAAATAATGATATTTATTAGATAAAATATTCTTTATGGGATCCCATACATCAGAATGTACTAACTCAAATGGACTAGATACACGATTATTGACTCTAGATTGAAAAGACATACGGTGATGCTTANGACTTTCATAAAAAATAACCAAGTCACACGAGAATAGTCATCCACAAATGTCACAAAATAATGATATTTATTAGATAAAATATTCTTTATGGGATCCCATACATCAGAATGTACTAACTCAAATGGACTAGATACACGATTATTGACTCTAGATTGAAAAGACATACGGTGATGCTTACTAAGTTGACAAGCTTCATAAGACAAAGATGACACATAACTAAGACTGGGAACTTGACGCTTCATATTCTGGAGAGAGGGATGTCCAAGACGACAATGTCATTGAAAAGGGGACAACGAGGCCTGTAGAGCCTGGATAGGTGAATCAAAGTCAAGNTACGGTGATGCTTACTAAGTTGACAAGCTTCATAAGACAAAGATGACACATAACTAAGGCTGGGAACTTGACGCTTCATATTCTGGAGAGAGGGATGTCCAAGACGACAATGTCATTGAAAAGGGGACAACGAGGCCTGTAGAGCCTGGATAGGTGAATCAAAGTCAAGGTAATATAGGCCATCAGCTTCATGTCCCGTACCAATCTTCTTCTTCGTCTTGAGATCCTGAAAAATACAATAAGAGGGATAAAAGGTTACGGAACAATTCAAAGAATGGGTAATCTTACTAATGGAAAGTAAACTAAAAGGAAATTGAGGAACAAATAACACGAAAGATAAGGACATATCAAGACTCAAGTGAGCAGTCCCCAGACCAGAAACTTTAGAACAAGTACTATTAGCAAGAATAACGCTACGTATGGAAGTAACAGACTGATAAGTAGAAAAAACATTAGACGCACTAGTCATGTGGTCAGAAGCGCCAGAGTCTATAATCCAGGGACTGCGAGTGGAGGACAATAAATAAGTGGAAGCAATNCCCAGACCAGAAACTTTAGAACAAGTACTATTAGCAAGAATAACGCTACGTATGGAAGTAACAGATTGATAAGTAGAAAAAATATTAGACGTATTAGTCATGTGGTCAGAAGTGCCAGAGTCTATAATCCAGGGACTGCGAGTGGAGGACAATAAATAAGTGGAAGCAATACCTGACTGGACAAAAGTAACAGTGGAGGGAGATGAGACAGCCTGTTGCTGGGATAGGAACTGAGCATACTCCTCTCGTGTAATAGTAATCAACCCAGTGTCTTGCTTGGGTTCCATAAGTGTAGCAAATAGAAAAAGAAAGTCACTAGATCATTGAACCGGACAAGAATCACCTACCGCACTGCTGAACCAGAAGAAAAACGGATACGAGAGGGCTGAACTGGATAGCCTGATGGCACTGGCTTGATGAATCGGACAATCTAAGGCCGCTGGACCACTGAATCGGGATTAACTTGGACTGTGGACCATTGAACCGGCAGAACCCCTGATTGGGTTGGGTTCTTTTAAAACACCAATGGACTGGGTCTTTTAACTAGAAGAAGATACCTAAGTGCTAATGGGTATTCTCTTCCTAGCAAGACCCTAGCAACAATTCTTTGCAACCCTAGCTTCAGTCGGCGTGAGATAGAAAACAACTCGGGCAACAACAGCGATCTGAATAGGGCTTGGTCTTCTTCGCAAGGCCCTGGCGATCTGAAAGGAGAAGCCCAAGCTTATAACACTAAGAGTCCTTCGTCTTCTTTGAAGGCCTAGTCACAGAAACCCTAGCAGCGCTAGCAACAAGGAGACGTAGGCACCTTCGTCGACTAATTCAAACGACTCTGACGATAGGTGAAACACGACGCCAAACACAACCACGTTTTCTGATGAGAATAAGGCACTAGATAAACCTATATGCAACAAACTTCCACCAGAGATACAATTGTGCACTGCGCCTCCATGAACCACAACGAGGAAGCTCTGATAATCACTCCTTCAGAGCTCCATGAATAGACAAACACCACCACACCGGTCCACAACAGTACCACCACCACCACAAGCAATCGGCAAACACCACCACAACAGTACCAACGAATAAAAAATTAATTTATTCAGAATATATATTTATGATCGCAATGCTCTGATACTATGTTAAGTTTGGAAGATTAACATAATATTAGAGACAATATTTAGGGAGAAACAGAGAGAAGTTAAAAACTTAACCTAGCTATCATACATCACTTGTATTTATACTTAACTCACAATAATAAGAATTACACATACACCCCCTTACTATTAACAATTTACACATACTACCCTACTATTCTTAACACCATGTATCAGCAAAATTGTTGCATTTCACGCAAAAATATTATTTGCAATATTTTGAATTTTTTCCTGTGAACTATTTCTCATGGCAGCAGTTATCCTTGCAGTAGTTTGGATCTGTTTTACTTAGAATCTCTGGAAGAATTATTCTGTGGCTTCAAATGCTATGAGAAATTTACTGGATAGTTATTGGGTTGGTGAGATGGTGTGCCACATTTTATGTTAAAAAATGCAATTACGTTTTGCTGGAGATGCTGAGTTCGTAGTAAATATTGACTGAAGATAATATTACTTGAATGTCTATCATTTACCCAGAAGAACAAGCTTTATCTTCTTGTGTCCACTGATACGACCTTTTACTTTTCTTACGGTATTTGCTATAACTGATTCTCCAGGATACAAGTAATTGGCCTTTAATTGATCCCTTGCCTTCTTATGGAAGAGGGAGANTTTCTTGTGTCCACTGATACGACCTTCTACTTTTCTTACGGTATTTGCTATAACTGATTCTCAGGATACAAGTAATTGGCCTTTAATTGATCCCTTGCCTTCTTATGGAAGAGGGAGAGAGCGCCCTGGAGGGAGGTATATGAGCTTTATCCATGGAGATGGGCTTGATGATGTGATTATTACTGGTTAGTATCAACAACATTATATCTCTTTCACTACCGATGGGTTTACAAAACTTTTTCTGGATACCTATTCTCATTATTATTAAGCAACCTGCATTATTCAATGCATGGAGAGCCGACTGATAAAACCAATATGTCGCATGTTGCAAAACCACATTTTCTTAGACATGCAGACATATGCTTGTACAGACAGAAGTATAAAGTATTGCATGGAATTAATGCTGATTTCCACAATGTGTTGTATTCATACGACATTTAAAACTGTACTATATTTATGGTGGCATTATAAAGCTTCCACATATGAAGAACTTGTATATTGATGTCCTCTGCCAATTTTTCTCATGCATGCAAGTTTTCTAATAAATTGTTTTTCTTAGGTGAGAATGGAACGATTGATGGCCAAGGTGATGTGTGGTGGAACATGTGGAGACTAGGAACCCTCCAATTCACTAGACCAAATCTTGTGGAGCTCATGAACTCTAGAAGAATAATCATCTCAAATGTAATTTTCAAGGACTCACCCTTTTGGAACATCCACCCTGTGTATTGCAGGTAATGGCTAAATATTTTTAAAATACTATATGATACATTTTGCAGACAGCTCTACAAAATATGATATTATCAATTAAAGTTTGATTGCTTTAATTATTTTTCATCTGATAGTAAACTAGACTCATCATGACAACACATCTTACTATTCACCATTGAGATTTTTGAAAGTTCATTGTCAAATTTAGGTTGTACAAAGTTCGTGACTCTGTATTTTTGGTGATAACTGATAATTTTTGATTATGTTGGGAGAGTCCGGAGAAAAGACAAACTCCCACGTTGATTTTAGAGTTTACTTCCTTTCTTTGTTTATGTTAGAAATAAGGAACCATATTTTGATCAATTTTCTGATGGCCAGAGCTTAGATTGGAGAGGTGTTCTCTGTTGACCATTTTGTAGTTGTCCCAAACATTCTGGAGTACTGCTAATTGATTCTAGCTGGATACATTCCAAGGGATGTGAAGTGAGAACTGCACTTTGGTCTGATAATTCTTTTCTTTCTCTTTTGACAGCAATGTTGTTATCAGAAATGTCACCATATTGGCTCCATCTGACTCTCCCAACACGGATGGAATTGATCCTGGTACGGGCTACATTGCAATTTATGTAACAGTATGCTATATTTTAATAAAGAGGGTTTTGTTTTCTTTAGATAAACGAGTGTTCATCTGAATTGCTATTTGCCATGATAGGAACTAGAAATGGTACACTCAAGTATCATCATCAGCATACTCCAGTATTGTCCTTCCCTNATGTCGCATGTTGCAAAACCACATTTTCTTAGACATGCAGACATATGCTTGTACAGACAGAAGTATAAAGTATTGCATGGAATTAATGCTGATTTCCACAATGTGTTGTATTCATACGACATTTAAAACTGTACTATATTTATGGTGGCATTATAAAGCTTCCACATATGAAGAACTTGTATATTGATGTCCTCTGCCAATTTTTCTCATGCATGCAAGTTTTCTAATAAATTGTTTTTCTTAGGTGAGAATGGAACGATTGATGGCCAAGGTGATGTGTGGTGGAACATGTGGAGACTAGGAACCCTCCAATTCACTAGACCAAATCTTGTGGAGCTCATGAACTCTAGAAGAATAATCATCTCAAATGTAATTTTCAAGGACTCACCCTTTTGGAACATCCACCCTGTGTATTGCAGGTAATGGCTAAATATTTTTAAAATACTATATGATACATTTTGCAGACAGCTCTACAAAATATGATATTATCAATTAAAGTTTGATTGCTTTAATTATTTTTCATCTGATAGTAAACTAGACTCATCATGACAACACATCTTACTATTCACCATTGAGATTTTTGAAAGTTCATTGTCAAATTTAGGTTGTACAAAGTTCGTGACTCTGTATTTTTGGTGATAACTGATAATTTTTGATTATGTTGGGAGAGTCCGGAGAAAAGACAAACTCCCACGTTGATTTTAGAGTTTACTTCCTTTCTTTGTTTATGTTAGAAATAAGGAACCATATTTTGATCAATTTTCTGATGGCCAGAGCTTAGATTGGAGAGGTGTTCTCTGTTGACCATTTTGTAGTTGTCCCAAACATTCTGGAGTACTGCTAATTGATTCTAGCTGGATACATTCCAAGGGATGTGAAGTGAGAACTGCACTTTGGTCTGATAATTCTTTTCTTTCTCTTTTGACAGCAATGTTGTTATCAGAAATGTCACCATATTGGCTCCATCTGACTCTCCCAACACGGATGGAATTGATCCTGGTACGGGCTACATTGCAATTTATGTAACAGTATGCTATATTTTAATAAAGAGGGTTTTGTTTTCTTTAGATAAACGAGTGTTCATCTGAATTGCTATTTGCCATGATAGGAACTAGAAATGGTACACTCAAGTATCATCATCAGCATACTCCAGTATTGTCCTTCCCTTCCTAATAGTGCCTATAATTTGTCGACAGATGACCTTTGGTTCATAGGATCACTTGCTGTTTCTTCTTTTTCACTGGTTAGATAGGAGCAGAATAGCTTTGCTAATGCTTATCTGATATATTGTGTGCAACCTGCAAAGGCACTTGTGATGGTTTAGATTTTTTTATTTGAACTGTTAATCGAAGCCCTCAAATGACATGCCATTAGTCACAAGAAGATGTAAATCCATGATCATATGGCCCTTAAATGCAAGGCGCAATCTTTGTGAAGCCCTAATCCTATTTATATCTTTAACTCCTTCATACAGATTCAAGCTCTTATGTGTGCATTGAGGACTCGTACATTTCTACGGGAGATGACCTTGTGGCCGTGAAGAGTGGGTGGGATGAGTATGGGATTGCTTATGGTCGCCCTAGCTCTGACATCACCATCCGACGGGTAACAGGATCATCCCCATTTGCTGGTATTGCAGTTGGGAGTGAAACCTCTGGTGGTGTGGAGAATGTATTGGTTGAGAACATAAACCTTTACAACACGGGAATTGGCATCCATTTGAAGACAAACATGGGCAGGGGAGGGGTCATAAACAACATTACTCTGTCTGATGTTTATATGGAAAATGTGCGGAAAGGAATAAAGATTGCGGGTGATGTCGGGGACCATCCTGATGGCAAGTTCAACCCAAATGCTCTCCCAGTTGTGAAGGATGTTACAATTAAAAATGTATGGGGTGAAAAGGTTCTGCAGCCAGGCTCCATACGGGGCCTGAGGAATGCACCTTTTACTGGAATATGTCTATCTAACATCAGTCTTAATGGTGCCAATGGACCTAGAAATCTCCCTTGGCAGTGTTCAGACGTAAGCGGGGCTGCTGTTCAAGTCAGCCCGTGGCCATGTTCAGAACTGACCAGCACCCATCAGACTGGTGCATGCTCTAGTTCCTTTTGAGATGATCTAATTTCTTCAGAGAGTACGAGTAAGTAATTGGATAATTGTTTTTTGTTGCAAATATGAAATGTTTGAACTTTACTGACTTGCATCCATTAAGATTAAAAAAATCACTCGTGGTGCGTTCAGTAGTTTTGTTAATAACTATCAATCCTAGTACAATGTTACGCATCATAGAGTGAATGTATCATAGAGTGAGTCGCAGTCCCTCTTGAGCCTTTGCTGCAAAGTGAGTCCCTTGAACCATAAGAAGCAAAGAAATTCGTGAATTTCCATTACTGATTTGGCATGTTAGTATCTCTGAATTTAATAACATTCGTGCGTGCATTTCTGTCGCATTTCATTTATATTTTAGGGGTAACAGAAGAGTGAGAAACCAATAATACAAAAATCTTGTTGAATGAAAATCGATTGCCACTGCTTCCACGAGATTCTATGTTCTCTGACTTACCAGAAAAAAGAAGAAGATTCTATGGTCTCATCTCTAATCATATCATATATATTTACACAAAACATGTCCAAATTAACCAACATATAATAACTGTATATTCTACTACATCTCAAACGGATTCAAAATTATTTATANTAAAAATCTTGTTGAATGAAAATCGATTGCCACTGCTTCCACTAGATTCTATGTTCTCTGACTTACCAGAAAAAAGAAGATTCTATGGTCTCATCTCTAATCATATCATATATATTTACACAAAACATGTCCAAATTAATCAACATATAATAACTGTATATTCTACTACATCTCAAACGGATTCAAAATTATTTATACAACATTAGTAACAACGTATTTACTCCCAAACATGCTAAACCATGCATAATGCCCACACACACACACACACACACACATATAGTTCCATGTCTATCAAACTCTAGAAGTTTAAGAACTTCCGACCTCTCTGTCATTCTCTTCCGCATATAGCGGAAATGCTTCTTAAACAAAAACGACGGCTTCTTGTCATCATCATCACGGTGGCGAATGGCGGCGATGGTGGTTGTGTTCGAACTTGACCCACTTCTCCAGGATCTGACGCCCACCGTCATGAAACAAAGCCGGATGGTCAAAATCACTGTCTCTGTATGAAACACGTACCTGAGGGCCGTGACCAAAACCACTCGTTGGATTAAACTGGTGGCGAGAGAGGCGANTCGGCTTCTTGTCGTCATCATCATCACGGTGGCGAATGGCGGCGATGGTGGTTGTGTTCGAACTTGACCCACTTCTCCAGGATCTGACCCCCACCGTCATGAAACAAAGCCGGATGGTCAAAATCACTGTCTCTGTATGAAACACGTACCTGAGGGCCGTGACCAAAACCACTCGTTGGATTAAACTGGTGGCGAGAGAGGCGAAAGGGGTACGAACGTCTCACGCGGAAGTGACGATTGATCGGATGGAAATTGAGCGTAGTTAACGGACGTGCCAGTGGGATTTCAGTAATGGTTAAGGTTTCGGATTCTGGAAGATCTTCTTCAGTGTTTTCAATATGTGGATTTTCTGCGTTGGTGACTTCTATTTTGGGTTTTAAGTCAAAACCCTGAAGAGTATTAAACTTCGACTTCTCTGTGACGAGAAGACTAGTTGGGTTGGCGTCAGATTCCGGCGAAGAATTGAGCAAATCCTGGTTGATGACTTCATATTCCGGTGGATTTGACGGATTGCNAACGGACGTGCCAGTGGGATTTCAGTAATGGTTAAGGTTTCGGATTCTGGAAGATCTTCTTCAGTGTTTTCAATATGTGGATTTTCTGCGTCGGTGACTTCTATTTTGGGTTTTAAGTCAAAACCCTGAAGAGTATTAAACTTCGACTTCTCTGTGACGAGAAGACTAGTTGGGTTGGCGTCAGATTCCGGCGAAGAATTGAGCAAATCCTGGTTGATGACTTCATATTCCGGTGGATTTGACGGATTGCGAGCGTACGAGATAGTAAAGAAGAAGAGAAGAACCGTAACAGTGACGGTTACTGTGAGTCTAACCATTTTGGTTTCCAGGGAATATGGGAAAGGTGGTATGTTTCGTCCACACTCCAGGGGTAGGTTGATAAACAACGATGAGGTGGTGGGTTCTGGAAGGTCGGGCAACTGATATTTTTTGGTGGCGTAATCTGTAATTGGTTGGGTAGAGGAATGGGCAGCGGGCAAGAGGAGGACTTCCTTCGACCTGTAGGAAGGCCCACTACTTTTAATTGTTTTTTTGGGCTGGGCTGTAGGAAGGCCCACAAAGTTTTCCCAGGGCTTGCTTCTCGNGAGAGGAATGGGCAGCGGGCAAGAGGAGGACTTCCTTCGACTTGTAGGGAGGCCCACTACTTTTAATTTTTTTTTGGGCTGGGCTGTAGGAAGGCCCACAAAGTTTTCCCAGGGCTTGCTTCTCGGACTTCCGTGGTAAAAAGTGGGAAACTAATTTGAATGTGTCGAAAAAGGCCAGTAATGTGATTGATGACTTGATTTAGATAGAAAAAAAGTATTGCAAAAGTGATTAATTTGTGATTAAGAAAAGAAAATAACACATACAGCCATTTGCAATAATAAACAAAAGCATTTTTATTTTCCAAACAACTAAACAAAAGAATGTTGTAAGAATTGGATAATATTTTCAAAATCTGTTATAAAAAGTAAAATTACAAAATGTTAGAATATTTTAATTAACAGAGTGTTTTTATGTGTGGAAATTCAATCTCACATTGATTAAATATTCAAAAGTACTTGAGTATATATATATACTAGTGTTATTTAGCCTTTAAATTAAAAAGAGATCTTGAGACTCTNTCAAAAGTACTTGAGTATATATATATATACTAGTGTTATTTAGCCTTTAAATTAAAAAGAGATCTTGAGACTCTCACTTGTGCAAAGGTGAGACTAGCAGAAGAGATACAAATTTCTAAAAAAATCTATTGATTAATTTTCCACAAAAAATTTTCAGTCAAGAGTTCCAAACAAAGATCAAATCCTTTTGGCAAGGAGTGAGATCCTTTTAAATATATTTTCTCTTCATAATTCTTCTTGACACATCATTTACGATTCATTCAAGTGGGATCCATTATAGATAAGTGAGCCCTCACTTATTAATGATCAATGATTTGTCAAGAGTGTCTCGTCCGTGACTACCCACAAAATGTNCGATCAAATCCTTTTGGCAAGGAGTGAGATCCTTTTAAATATATTTTCTCTTCGTAATTCTTCTTGACACATCATTTACGATTCATTCAAGTGGGATCCATTATAGATAAGTGAGCCCTCACTTATTAATGATCAATGATTTGTCAAGAGTGTCTCGTCCGTGACTACCCACAAAATGTTATCATTAACTCACTCACTAACATATTAGAATTATGGGTTAGATTAGTTATGAGGGTAATTTTTATCATCTTGCATTTAAAGATTTTTTTATCAATGAAAGGCATATGTTGGATTTTGAGATAAACTTTCTTGCGAAGTTGTGGAGATTAAATTCTTATTGAATTAAACCATTGGAAGTATCCATCCCCACGAAACGAGTTTTCTCACCCAATTCTATTATTAATTTATATTTTAAATTTCTTAAAGTTTACNAGAATTATGGGTTAGATTAGTTATGAGGGTAATTTTTATCATCTTGCATTTAAAGACTTTTTTATCAATGAAATGCATATGTTGGATTTTGAGATACACTTTCTTGCAAAGTTGTGGAGATTAAATTCTTATTGAATTAAACCATTGGAAGTATCCATCCCCACGAAGCGAGTTTTCTCACCCAATTCTATTATTAATTTATATTTTAAATTTCTTAAAGTTTACACGTAACAAAATGTTGTTCGTACTTTACTTTCTAACTGCAACATATATAGCACGAAAATGATCAGATGCTCATGATCATCTTTTCATAGGTACCATATACAATCAAGCAATGAATCAATGACATAGCTGGCTATAATCTAATGGCCGACAAAGATCTCAAGCATGAATCTAGCTTCACTAGATACCACAAAGAGACAAATTTCAACTCCCTTAATAAATGCTTTAGATCAATACCGTTTTTAGAGTACTTCGGAGGATTCCAACTTTGGACCTTCTTGAACCAATACTCCTATAAAACAAGTTCCACCACCCTGTAATTCGATGCAATCCAGAATATACAGACCCACACATATCTACCAATCAAAACCCATCCCAGATTCAACAAAAACAACCATCACCACCATTNCCAAGCATGAATCTAGCTTCACTAGATACCACAAAGAGACAAATTTCAACTCCCTTAATAAATGCTTTAGACCAATACCGTTTGTAGAGTACTTCGGAGGATTCCAACTTTGGACCTTCTTGAACCAATACTCCTATAAAACAAGTTCCACCACCCTGTAATTCGATGCAATCCAGAATATACAGACCCACACATATCTACCAATCAAAACCCATCCCAGATTCAACAAAAACAACCATCACCACCATTAAACCAACCTCTTCACAAGTCTTTGAAAACCCATTTTTCAAAGAAGATCAAACATGTTGTCAAGAGCCTTCACGAAGCCAAGAAGGAGCCCTAAATATGGAGAAAACAGCTGCAGATCATTGTCGATCCACGAGTATGAAGACTGCATCATTGGGTTCATGGACGATCTACCAGTGATCTCTTGCTCTGGTGATAATCGTTATGAAGATGGTCGGCACAACGGATCCCAAATGACCCTGAGAGAGGTGTTGAGGGCCTCAGTTGGGGTGATCGGAGAGAGCCGTTTGGGAGTGGCGGAGAAAGTGGTGTTGTTGGGGGGTGAAGTTTGTGCAGTGAAGAGGTTTAGAAAGGTGATTGTTAGGAAACGTGAGTTTGGGAGGAGGATAGAACACCTGGCTGACGTTAGCAGGAAGTGTGAGTATCTTGTGCCTGTCACTGCTTATCTCTATGAAAAGAGAATCAAGTTTGTTGTTTGTGATTACTATCCTATGGGAAGCCTTGCCGACTTGCTTGGTGGTACGTTTCTAGTTATAATTTTTTTTCCCCGGAAAATCTAGATATAATTTCTTATACATATCATGGAATAGTATTGAAAAGAGGTTACATATTTATTGGTTGAATTTCTTTTTCGGGTATATATATGTAAATAAAATTTTAGTTCCAAAAAGATAGATATTATCAAGTAATGTTCAAAACATGCTCTAGAGACAACCGAGCGATTGGTTCAATAGATGACAACTTGAATTTACTCGCTCAATGATTGAATTCGAGGTTTAATAGTTACGACAACTTGTTAGGGTTAAACTTAATCTATAATGCCCAGAGCATGTAGTTAGCCCTATCCCCAACGTAAGTGCGGTGGGGTCTCATGTAGATAGCTTTCCCATACAAGAAGGAACACCAATACTTTTTTCAAAATTTTCCCATTAGGTAGGGGGCTCGTTGATCCTTTTTTTAAATTTTTTTCGAACATCGATGATTAAATGCTATATGTTGTAATATTTTTTATTTTTATTTTTATCATCTGTATGTTGTGAGATGACAGGGTTGAATTAATTGTTTGTTCTTCTCGTCTTTTCACATTTTTTCTAGGTGCAAGGGAACTTGGTCACACTGCTCTAGATTGGAAGCAACGCCTTAAGATTGTTCGTGACATTGCACAAGCCATTGCTTTTATCCACTCACAATGTCCGCAGAACAAGCAACCACCGATGAATGTTCATGGTAACATCAAAGCATCCAACGTCATGATCAACATCGACTTCACCGCCCATGTCTCAAATTATGGCTTTGCCCAACTGGCTGAGCCGGTGGAAGTTTCTGATACTTGGCAGCGGAAGCCACCACCGTCATCACCAGAATTGTACTGTGAATCGTTGAGCCAGAAAAGCGATGTATACAATTTTGGTATCGTATTGTTGGACATGCTAGGAGGACTCAAGGCTCCGGGGCTGAAACACTGGATAGTGGAAAATAAAGAAGAAATTAATAAGGGGCATTTTGAGTTTTTCGAATTTTCTGTGGACGAGAAAGAGAGAAATCAAGCACTGCAGGTTCTGGACATTGCATTGGCATGTACAAATAGCCCGGAAGCAAGACCATCAATGGAACAGATACTCTTAGGTTTAGGAGATTTTATTTCCAAGGAGCTGAGAATCTTACATACATAGATCGATATTACTTCTATTAAACATTGTACTGGATAAAACCATCGAATTGTTGGCTTGTGTTCCAAAATCATTTCCATACTATTGTAGTTTTTTATGCGGTCTTATTTTTGAAACATGACTTTACCTATTTAGAAAAATGGGTTTTTTTGAAAGTACACTTTCAACTAATTTTTATTAACGTTTTTAGTGTAAGTTAATCGTATTTTAGAAACACCACTACATACAAACAAACAACGATAATTTTATAAATAAGTTTGAAATTTTTGGCAGTAAATGTTATAAAAACATGATAGAAGAAAAATTAACTCTTTGATACCCATTGTACACAAATTTGATGAGAAGAAAGAACTTTGAAGAATTTCTTTGAAGCACATCAGTTTCTAGTCATATAACATCAAGTGGTCGCTGAAGCACATTTTTTCTTCATGTAATATCAAGAAAAAATAATTTGTATTCGCGGTACCATATCGAAAATTATCATTTTTTAAAGTTAAGTTATAATTTTTTTGATGCGTAAGTTACAATTTTAATGATGAAAAGTTGTGATCGATACTGAAAGCTCAAGATCCATTTTGGAAGGTTGGGATCAAACACGGGAGTTCATGATTGATCATGGATGTTTGTAATTAATCATAACTTTCACTTGAGCAGTTGTATAAAAAATACTAACTGACGGTATCGATTTTTGATACTGTAGAATTTTCTGTAATATATTATCGAGTCAATTTTCATTGGATGAAAATAAAAACATTGAGGTCCTGATCAGGTTATCGCTGAAGATTCTGAATCATCATTTGGAAGTTTTTTTTTTTGTTTTAAACATTTTGGAACACACCTATCAGATTGATTATCCCAATATTGCCTTTTGGATTTAGCTGTTACATTGTTCAATAGCGCACTTAGACAGCTGGTTAGAACGATTAAAATACTCTGAAATATCAAAAATATATAATTCTACAAGAACGTTATTTTCAAACTCAAATGGTCGGGTACAATGCGAGATGGGTCCCAAAAAAACATTAATATATTTTTTGTTTTGTTATAGTGTGTTTAGGAGAAAATATTCGTTGTAACGGTGATATCATGTTATCATCCAATTAGAAGACAATAAGTAGATATAGAGAATCTCACTAATTTTATGTGTTACTGATTGAATATGATGGTTATTGGTAGTTATGAAAATAGTAGGGTTCCTTTTACTTATTTATAACCTTCTAATTGGATGGTGAAATCATATGACAGTGATGATGTAGTGTCACTGTTGCACTGAATATTTACTCGGTATTTAGATTTGTACCGACTACTCGCTTAAAAACGGATATTACCACCGCAATTCTAGTAGATTTAGAACATGTCCCCTGATAAAAAAAGATGACTAACCCTTAGAAGATATAAAAAAATAAAAAATAATAGTAACTGATTTAATGCTTATATGAAAACTTAAGAGGGTAAATGGACTAAAAAAATCAATAATCAACTATTAATTAGGTGATGATATGCGATATTTATAATAGAATTAGGTGTTTAGCAATATATTAATGTTATTTAAACTTAAAAATTTGACTAAATAATGTGGCTTTATTAAAACTATTAAATTAACACTAAGTTGTAATGTTTAATGAGATCCACAATTAATTCAAAAGTCATATGAATTGAGCAATGCTACGATGATCTAATTTGATGATCTAATGATATATTTTTAATTAAACATTGAATTAGTTGTGAGTTTCAATGCTAGATGGAGATCACTACCGATCTGATGATTATATTGAATTAAGTCCCCAAATTAAATTTAAGAGTAATGCTACAAAATCCAAATGAAATCCAAAAAGTTGCAACCAAAATGCATATCATCTCTTGAATGAGTAAGTCTTATCAATTTTTTCAGTGAGGCCTACTCATCCTACACTTATTCAATGGATAATATGCATTTGAATTTTAACTATTGAGTTGTGTAGTATTTTTTTAAATTCAAATAACATTTTTCTAATGGATTAGACTTGTAAAGTAAATCAATAAATTAGCTTCAAATAACATTACTCTTAGTGTGTTCCTTTTGATCAATAGAAAAATTTTAATCCAAAATTTAGGGACCTTAATAAAAATAAGAACATAAGAAAAATAGTGATTGGAGAATGTTGGCGAAAGTGTTGAATCTATCGACTCAAGAGATCGCAGTGGACTGAAGCAGGGGCAGGGGGTATAGTCACTATCTCCATACCCGTTTAAAAAAATTATGTCCATCCCTGATCCACCCCCGTTAACGGGTATAATTTTTATCCCCATCCTCATTTGCAAGTAAATTTGAAATTCCCACCCCTGACCCCACCCCCGTCCACCTTACCCGCTCCAGCTAGGGATGTCAATAGACCGAAGCAGGGGCGGAGAGTGTAGTCTTCATTCTCGTACCCATTTAAAAAAATTTCGTCCATCCCCGATCCACTCCCATTAACGGGTATAGTTTTTATCCCCATCCCCGTCCGTGGGTAAATTTTTAATCCCCGTCCCCATTTCTCCCGTACCCGTTTCCCCCGTACCCGCCTAAATCTAAGCCCAAGCTCAAACTCAAGCCTAAGCTCAAACTCAAGTAACATAATCCAAAATTTTAAATAAATTCAATATTTTAAATAATCCAACAACATTCTAAATAATTTAACACAACATAATATAAATAGCAAAATGTAAAATCAAAACAATATAATATTTTATTTAAAGTGTCATTGGACCACAAAAAGAGAAACGGAACTATTAGAGAGAAATGAAGAAAAGAAAAATAAAATTGAACTAAGAAAACGATAGCACTACACTTNCAATATAATATTTTATTTAAAGTGTCATTGGACCACAAAAAGAGAAACGGAACTATTAGAGAGANAAAAAGATAGATATTATCAAGTAATGTTCAAAACATGCTCTAGAGACAACCGAGCTATTGGTTCAATAGATGACAACTTGAATTTACTCGCTCAATGATTGAATTCGAGGTTTAATAGTTACGACAACTTGTTGGGGTTAAACTTAATCTATAATGCCCAGAGCATGTAGTTAGCCCTATCCCCAACGTAAGTGCGGTGGGGTCTCATGTAGATAGCTTTCCCATACAAGAAGGAACACCAATACTTTTTTCAAAATTTTCCCATTAGGTAGGGGGCTCGTTGATCCTTTTTTTAAATTTTTTTCGAACATCGATGATTAAATGCTATATGTTGTAAGATTTTTTATTTTTATTTTTATCATCTGTATGTTGTGAGATGACAGGGTTGAATTAATTGTTTGTTCTTCTCGTCTTTTCACATTTTTTCTAGGTGCAAGGGAACTTGGTCACACTGCTCTAGATTGGAAGCAACGCCTTAAGATTGTTCATGACATTGCACAAGCCATTGCTTTTATCCACTCGCAATGTCCGCAGAACAAGCAACCACCGATGAATGTTCATGGTAACATCAAAGCATCCAACGTCATGATCAACATCGACTTCACCGCCCATGTCTCAAATTATGGCTTTGCCCAACTGGCTGAGCCGGTGGAAGTTTCTGATACTTGGCAGCGGAAGCCACCACCGTCATCACCAGAATTGTACTGTGAATCGTTGAGCCAGAAAAGCGATGTATACAATTTTGGTATCGTATTGTTGGACATGCTAGGAGGACTCAAGGCTCCGGGGCTGAAACACTGGATAGTGGAAAATAAAGAAGAAATTAATAAGGGGCATTTTGAGTTTTTCGAATTTTCTGTGGACGAGAAAGAGAGAAATCAAGCACTGCAGGTTCTGGACATTGCATTGGCATGTACAAATAGCCCGGAAGCAAGACCATCAATGGAACAGATACTCTTAGGTTTAGGAGATTTTATTTCCAAGGAGCTGAGAATCTTACATACATAGATCGATGTTACTTCTATTAAACATTGTACTGGATAAAACCATCGAATTGTTGGCTTGTGTTCCAAAATCATTTCCATACTATTGTAATTTTTTATGCGGTCTTATTTTTGAAACATGACTTTACCTATTTAGAAAAATGGGTTTTTTTGAAAGTACACTTTCAACTAATTTTTATTAACGTTTTTAGTGTAAGTTAATCGTATTTTAGAAACACCACTACATACAAACAAACAACGATAATTTTATAAATAAGTTTGAAATTTTTGGCAGTAAATGTTATAAAAACATGATAGAAGAAAAATTAACTCTTTGATACCCATTGTACACAAATTTGATGAGAAGAAAGAACTTTGAAGAATTTCTTTGAAGCACATCAGTTTCTAGTCATATAACATCAAGTGGTCGCTGAAGCACATTTTTTCTTCATGTAATATCAAGAAAAAATAATTTGTATTCGCGGTACCATATCGAAAATTATCATTTTTTAAAGTTAAGTTATAATTTTTTTGATGCGTAAGTTACAATTTTAATGATGAAAAGTTGTGATCGATACTGAAAGCTCAAGATCCATTTTGGAAGGTTGGGATCAAACACGGGAGTTCATGATTGATCATGGATGTTTGTAATTAATCATAACTTTCACTTGAGCAGTTGTATAAAAAATACTAACTGACGGTATCGATTTTTGATACTGTAGAATTTTCTGTAATATATTATCGAGTCAATTTTCATTGGATGAAAATAAAAACATTGAGGTCCTGATCAGGTTATCGCTGAAGATTCTGAATCATCATTTGGAAGTTTTTTTTTTTGTTTTAAACATTTTGGAACACACCTATCAGATTGATTATCCCAATATTGCCTTTTGGATTTAGCTGTTACATTGTTCAATAGCGCACTTAGACAGCTGGTTAGAACGATTAAAATACTCTGAAATATCANGAACTCATCAACTTTCATTCACAAAATATCTACTCACGATGAAATGCAAAACTATTTTACTCTCTTTATCTGTTTTTAGAGTATGATCAATCCAAACTCCTAACAGTTTCAATCAATGAGCACAAATAGAAAAAAGAACAATTAGGAAAAAAGTTGATAAGAATACCATATAGCAATGTCACTTGTTAGTTCAATTACTATATTTCTAAATTGATAGTTACATTAAATATGTTAGTTAGGGCTTGAGAGTATATATATATATATATATATATATATATAATTGGTAGCGGGGCGAGACTGAGATAAAGGTAAGTTCATCCTCACCTTCATCTCCGTACGGGTTTATAAGGGTATTTTCGTATACGTTCACCGTCCAATACGTATAGTCCATCTCCGGTTCAAACGAGACAAGTTTGGACGAATACCCGTTTTTTTCCGGTCCCCTGCAATTCCTAACCCAAGCACAAGCCCAAACAAACATAANGTCCATCTCCGGTCCAAACGAGACAGGTTTGGACGAATACTCGTTTTTTTCCGGTCCCCTGCAATTCCTAACCCAAGCCCAAGTCCAAACAAACATAATTCCAAATTCAAAACAAATATAATATTCTATATAATCCAACATAATTATAAAATATCATAACATAATTAAAAACTTGTCATCTACAACNATCCATCTCCGGTTCAAACGAGACAAGTTTGGACGAATACCCGTTTTTTTCCGGTCCCCTGCAATTCCTAACCCAAGCACAAGCCCAAACAAACATAATTCCAAATTCAAAACAAATATAATATTCTATATAATCCAACATAATTATAGAATATCATAACATAATTAAAAACTTGTCATCTACAACATAATCTAACATAATATAATTAAAATCTTATTTACAACATAATCCAACACAACATCATGTAACACAACATAATATAACATAATATAATCCAACATTAAAAAACATAAAAATACAAAGATTTATATTTTTACAAACCAAAGATATGAAAAAAAAATAAAAAAAATAATTTATTCACAATAACATATATATATATATATACACACACATAATAACTAATAAAGCAGAACGGAGAGACGAGATGTAAATGTCAGTCTATTACCTCACGAATTTACATTGATATTTTTATATACATCGACGTTTCAATACGTATGATTAATCTTTCGTCCTAAAGAAACGAATTTAGAAAAGTACTCTTTTTTATTCGGTCCCCTGCCATGCTTANTAAAAAAAATAATTTATTCACAATAACATATATATATATATACACACATAATAACTAATAAAGCAGAACGAAGAGACGAGATGTAAATGTCAGTCTATTCCCTCACGAATTTACATTGATATTTTTATATACATCGTCGTTTCAATACGTATGATTAATCTTTCGCCCTAAAGAAACGAATTTAGAAAAGTACTCTTTTTTATTCGGTCCCCTGCCATGCTTAATCGACTCTGTATGTTCTGCGCAGAACAGCCAATTATTCAGTATCTCACGTGTGGGTCACAGGCCAGTGACACACAGCAAAATTTTGAAAGAAAAAAGTTCGGGCCACCGCTCCATTGGCTGACACCTGTAAATACTTGTACGTGTACTTTAATGACTGCATTGGAACTTGGAAGTCTCAAAACAGTACGGATCCCCCATCTTCCGGGTTCTGATTCTGACTGATTGATACTTGAATTCTGCACCTCATCGGTTGTCCAGAATTGACCCGACCCAACGAACAATGGATTGCTTGTAGAACTATTGCTGGACCANACCCCATCTTCCGGGTTCTGATTCTGACTGATTGATACTTGAATTCTGCACCTCATTGGTTGTCCAGAATTGACCCGACCCAACGAACAATGGATTGCTTGTAGAACTATTGCTGGACCAGACACAACAACTCTAGAGAATCGAAATAGACATTTATTCAAAATAGAGGCAAGCCAAACCGTAGATTGTTATTCTTAAAAGAGTCTCTTTGAGTATTCTATCAAAGCACAATGAGAATGAGAGTAGCTGTAACACCTACTTAAATGAAATCGGTTGATGAAATTTGTAAATTGAACATCTATTTATCAATTTTTTTGAAACTTTGAATGCCAAAGTGTCTTATACTCATGCCTATAATTTTTTTTATCAATAAAAAGAGGAGTTAATTAAGGTACCTATGAATCTATTGACAAAGTTCATGCTTTGGCTTTACTCTTGTCAATGACATATTTCTATTCATGTCTTTGGACTTCTTCTTTGAGAATGCATTCTCACTTTCAATCGAAACATCGATAATATGAGTCTTTACTTTATAATTGTGACACTATTCTGTTCTCCTTTTGGGTACGTTAGGTATAGATCTTGATAATCTGTAAACTGCAGACATCACGTATAATGGATAATTCCATTAGACTTGTTTAAAGACTAGGAGAATACAAATACGGCTAAATGAGACTTTTAAATTTCATTAATTTACCATGATATGAACTTAACTATACATGGATATTAATACGTCGAATATAGATTGAATGAATTTTACATTGATACGAATCCAACAAAATACGATGTGCTGCCAATCCTATGCTCACTTGCACCTCCACGTGATATGCCTTGGCCTAACATAGGCCAATTGAAGTATAACACTAAACTGCGGACATCCGGTTTTGCAATTTGTGTTGAGACTCTGGAAATAACACAGTAACTTCAACAACCAGTCCTCCCAGATACCTCAGAAATTGAGACCCACCACGAGACTATGGGTCCCAGTTCATACCTAAGTTCGAGGTGAATGAGAAACAAACTTCCCATACATACTGGCCTTTTTTTTTTCTGGAGACAAGATACGGAATGAAAGAGTAACCAAAATTAGCTGGTAGACTCACAAATCATTCACGGTTGTAATCGTAAACCCAAACACTACCAAATACCTAATGTTCCTTTTTCTACTTGTGCTCTCTTTGCTTATCTTTGTTAGTTCTGTTCTAGGGTGACAACCTACCAAAAAAAAAAACCAAGAAACTTTTATTTCTACTCCTTTGATTATTGTCAAAAGGTTTAGGATAGTTTTCTAAATTTCCTATGAGTGTAACATAGAAATTAATATTAATAAGTATAATATAAAATAAGACATGTTTCAATAAACTGATCTGACGGTCTCAAATAAATTCATCTAACGGTTAACAATATCACTCTCTAAATTATTCATATAATATTGTACCTTCGGATACGAATTATCTCCGGTACATATATAAACGACACCATCATGGATATTGATAGCCGTTCCCATGTGTCGGAGAAAATTATGATCTTGACTTGAAGATGGCTATGATATTCAAATGCGCACTGGAATCTTAGACCGCTCAATTTCTCTATTAGTTATAATTGTGGGTGGGATTAAAAAGTCACAGATCTGGATTAGTTAGTAGAGGCATCATATGGGTTTGATTATATAAATATGCTTTGACCAGTTCCAGAGCAGATCGAAAGTCCTTGCGTGAGTTTAGCACATAGATTCTTTTGGTCTATGCGTGATGGCCTGTGGTACAAATGGTAGACTTTTTTGGTCAACTATAAGATCTTATGGGGCAGGTAGGTCTGTGGGATTAAATAACATCATGAAGCCAAAATGCCTGTACACTGAAATCAGTTTATTATTAGCTATTTTGTTGACTTTTATACCCAAACGTGTGGCTAATATTATTTTAACATGCTTTTGCAGGCCCTAAGTAAGAAACGAAACTTCGAGTTGGAATCATTGGTGCTTCCTTAATGCGGTGCAATGCCAATTTCAAATTTTTTTTTTACAAAAACATGTCGGCAATATCGATGATTTTACAACAACATGCGTTTTAGTTTTAGTACGTGCAAACTAAGAGATACCTTTATATAAAAATAAGGAAATTGTCCCAAATCAAATGAATTTACTATCTATAGACTTAAATTTTTAATTATGTATGAGTTTCAGATATATATATTAGGTAATAGATTAATTTGTTCTTTGTCTCTCAACGTAAATCAATAACAAAAGAAATTAAGGGTACTAAATTGTCATTTTAGTAAAGCTAATACCTAGGGTCAAATCTCATTACCCTTCATTAAGATCTCCAATCCCCTGTCATGGAGTGTTGTGTAGGTTCATCAGTACTTCAACAAAAAAAAGAGAGCAAAAAACCACAAGGAAATTAATGGAAAAAAACTTTGTTAGACAGATTAAATGAAATTTATCACGATGCACCTAAAAGTATTCTTTTCCCTTAAAACTTTATAAAACAATGCTATACTTACCAAATATGCGAATGTTCATTCAAAACAAATACCATAGTCAAGTTCTTTTTATTTATAAATAGCCACTTGTGGAGCCAAAACCCACAGCTGAAAACAATAGAAGGGAGAAAAACAAGAACAAGGGTTGTGATGGAAAGTACAAAGAGTGAGGTATACTTCGTTTTCATGAACTACGATCCCGAGTACGAGCGTCTTCGATCTTATAGGTTAGTTCTCTTCAGCATTATTCTAACATTTCACTTGTATGGTTTCTTGGTAAATGTGTGATTTTCTTCTTCTTCTTCTTCTTGATAATGGAGTGTGTACTACTGTAGTAATAGAACAAAGAGAGGGACACATGAGCTTGATTTGTACTTGAGTAAGAAGCATGATGAGTTGTTGGCAAACACCCTCGAGCCACATAGCTACAAGAAGACAATGTCATTGGTTATTGTCGATGGGTTTGCAGTGGAAATCACTGATGATCAGGTAATGTCTCTAATGATCAGCTTGTGCTATTTTTTATGGTTTTACAAGGGCAAATTAAGCCTTTTTTGGTCCCAAGACAACCGATAATTTTATTTTATCTATTTATTCTGCAAAATCAGGCCAATGCGCTTAGATCTGCAAAAGAAGTGAGGATTGTAGAGAAGAATCAAGAGCTAGCTTAGTGTAGGAAAGAAGAGATTTGATGCTTTAATAGAAAACTGCCATGGGTTCGTATGAAATTGGTACATGTGTAAAGCTGGAGTTAGTTTAGTTTTGTGGTAAGACTCTGGTGGAAATGGCTTCCCTGATGCCATTATGTATGTTTCTATGTATCTAAGATTATACTTGCTTTACTCTCTCTCTCTCTCTCTCTCTCTCTCTCACACACACACACACACACACACACACTCACTCTGAGAAGGATCGAGTGTGGTGATTATAAGTAAGCATTTAAAGGTTAATTAAGAGTAGAAGCGAATCAGTTGACGGACACTGGTACCAATTTAGAGGATGAATATATCTGTTCTAGGCTAGTGCATTTGGTCATCGGTAGGTTGAAATCAGGTGGAGTGTTTGAAATCTTATTCTTCATGAACACGTGGCTGCCTATCATAGGTTGAGCATGATGGACCATGACATGCAATAGCCTTCGTAAATAGAATAGCAAGTTATCTACTCGTATAATTTAAGGGAAATTCCAATTTGACCCACAAACTATGATCTTCGTCTCGCACTACCACTCAACTATCATGTTATTCAAATTGCACATTCAATTATGCTCATTAATTTAACAGTGTTCTAATTATTCACGATCATTACAAAGTTAATAAGAGTTATTCCACTTTGCCCCCAATTTGAGTTTGTTTCACTTTATCCTGAGAGACATTTTTCATCCAATGAACATTTGCGTTTAGGGTAATGTAAAATCAATTCAAATTGATGAAAGAGAATGTGATATAAATTCATCAGTTCAGGGACTAAGTGATATCAAGGTCATAGTTGAAGGGGTTAAAGTGTAATTTAAAATTTTATCTGATGGGAAGCTTACTGCGTTTTGTGCCATCTGATTACTAAGCTACACTGTTCAAAAGAATTCTGGTACTAGATTTTAGCAAAGATTTGTAAAAACTGAGGAGCCCATGTTCAATAATATCTGGTCCTACACCATGTCTGGACAATCAACACTCTTGTCTCGTACTCACAAGGACAAAAGCACTAGGTGAGATAAACGAAGAGAGATTCCTCGAGTTAGTTGTGTTGAAGCATCAGCCATCAATGGCATAGACCAAAAGGTGATGTGATAACATTTCATGGGCTTCTGCCAACCACTTTATGTAGTTAAGGTTATGAGTGAAAACCGCAGAGTTACTTGCAATGCTTCCATTTTTCAACAAAGTTTGAGCAAAAGGCTGACATGTGGAGGGTGGGTGGGTCATGTACTAACACTACTACTGTCCTCACTTGAAACAACTTTTTGAAGACATCGCTAACTGA